GTCGTGCAACATTAAAGTAGTGTGAATTTTCTAGAATTTTACCCTGGGCCCTCATGGTTGCTTGAAGGAAAATGGCCCTCATAGGCTTATATATGTTTGAATAGTTGGTCCCCTGTTGGTAGAATTGTTTGGGAAGTGTTAGGGGGTGTGGCCTTGTTGGAGGAGGCGTGTCACTGGGGGATGGGCTTTGAGGTTTCACAAGCTAGTGTCATTCTCAGCTATGGCTCCTATGCTATGCCTCCCTGCCTCTGCCATGTTCCCCACCATGAGGGTCATTGATTCACACTCTGAAACCATAAGCCCCCATAAACTGCTACGTCTCTAAGTTGGCTTGGCCATGATTGATATCTTAGCATGCAATAGAAAAGGAACTTAGATATCTGTCCCTTATTTCCTCCCTCCCTTCCTGCTGGGGACCAAACCCAAGGCTCATCTCTAGTAGGCCTTTTTTTTTTTGAGACAGGATCCTAAAGCTTCAAACTTGCTGTGTAGTTGCGATGACTTGAATGCCTGATCCTCCTGCCTCCACCTCCTAGGTTTTGGAACAAAAGGAATATACCAACAAGCAGTTTAAACAGTTCTGGACATTGAATGTAGGGCTTCCTATATGTTAGGCCAGTGCTGTACCCTTATTGAGATACATCCCCAGCCCCATTAACTTAAATATTTGTTTTTTTTTATGTACTGCTGTTTGCATATGTGTATGTATGTGCACCATTTGGGGTAGGGCCACAGAGGCCAGAAGAGGAATTTGGAATCCAGGAACTGGAGTTACAGATGCAAGTATTCATGTGGGTACTGGGAACTGAACCACAGTCTTGCAGCTCTTGCAGGAGGATCATGAATTCAAGATGAATTTGAGCTACACAACAAGACTATATCTTAAACAAAAGTCACCATTTTACATTACTGTGCTCAGCTCTTTACAATTGTTGAAGCAATATAGACACAATGTTATCAACTGAAGCCCATGGTTCACCATCAGTTTCCTCCTTAGTGTTGCTGCTCCTCTGTGGGTTTAAGACACAGTGTCATATATCCACCACAACTCAGAGTCACTTCCCAGCCTTGAAAATTCCCTGTGATCCACCTAGTCACCCCTCTGTTCCTACCTTCTGGTAACCACTGATCTCTTCATTTTGTCTTTTTTTTTTTTTTTTTTTTTGCCTCTTTTTCAGGATGTCTAAGATCCAGAATCATTCAAGGTACCATTTTCTTTTTAACTTTTTTCTTAAACTAATTTTTTTGTTTGTTTGTTTTTCGAGACAGGGTTTCTCTGTGTAGCTTTGGAGCCTATCCTGGCACTCACTCTGGAGACCAGGCTGGCCTTGCACTCACAGACATCCGCCTGCCTCTGCCTCCCGAGTGCTGGGATTAAAGGCATGTGCCACCAACGCCCAGCCTAAATTATTTTTTTAAAAATATTTATTTATTACTTATACAGTATTTTGTCTGCATGCATGCCTGCAGGCCAGAACAGGGCACCAGATGTCATTACTGATGGTTGTGAACCACCATGTGGTTTCTGGGAATGGAACTCAGGTCAAGGTACCATTTTCTAAAGGAAGTCTGCAAGATGGCTTAGTGGGTAAAGGTGCTCGATGCCAGACTTGACAACCTGACTTTGACTTGGAACACACATGGTGGAAAAGACAACTGACTCCAAATGTTGTCCTCAACATGAACACTGTGGCTTATACACATACACAATAAACAAAATCACTTTTACATTTGCTTTTTGCACTTCCAAAGATGTATCTAAGATCCAGCAATATCCTTATAGCTCACATCTTTCTTTTCTTTTTTTTTCTCTCTTCCTCCCTCCCTTCCTCCTTCCCTCCTTCCTTCCTTCCTTCCTTCCTTCCTTCCTTCCTTCATTCCTTCCTCTTTTCAGTCCTGGGGATTGAATCCAGAGCTTCATACGTGATAGGCAAAGTGACCTAACATTGAGCTACAGCTCTTCCCAGTTTCTTTTTAGACATGGTCTCACTTTATAATACTGGCTGACCTGGAACTTGATGTATAGACAAGGTTGGTCTTGAGCTCTGCCTCTACCCCTGAGTATTGGTAGTAAAGTAATGTGTTACCATGTCCATTGATATCTTTCTAAAAGATTTATTAATTTTTATTTTATATGCATTGGTACTTTGCCATGGGTGTCAGAGCCCCTGGAACTGGAATTACAGACAGTTGTGAGCTACCATGTTGGTGCTAGGAATTGAACCCAGGTCCTCTGAAAGGGTAGTCAGTGCTCTTAACCACTGAGCCATCTCTCCAGCCCCCATCCACAGCTTTTTAAGGAAGGATCTAGCTAAGTTAGTCAGGTTGCCCTGAATTCCCTCTGTAGCCCATGCAGGCCTTGAACTTGTGATCCTCATCTCAGCCCCCTAACTGTTGGGAGTATAGGCAAGTGATGACGTTGTGTCTGGAGCACCTTTCCTTCACTGAATTAAAAAAAAAACTGAGGAGTCCACTGATGTGTCTACCACACTGAAGAAAGCTGGGGTGGAGCGAAAAGGCATTACTTTTGTTCCTGTTGCTGATTCCCCATGTGTGTGACAGTCATGAATCTTGAAATGGGAATTTCCTTAAGAAGGACAGCAATGCCTCAAGTACCACCAATACCTTGGCTCCTGTAAACGCCATCCACCCAACTTGGCACTGAGAATTCCTTCGTGACCTCAGTCTATGCCATCACTACCACCCAGAAGACTATGGACAGCCTGCCTGGGAAACTGTTCACTGATGGCCATGGGCTATCCAGAGCACCATCATGCACAGGCTGACACTGTCAAGGTCATAGCGAAGGTTAGCTCTAAACTGAACAAACGGGAAGCTCCCTGGAATGCCCTTCCTGTGCCCAACCACAGTATCAAGGATCTTATCTGCAGGCAAGAACATGTCACAGGCTATAGTAACATCAAGAAGGTGGTGGCACGAGCCTTTAATCCCAGCACTCAGGAGGCAGAGACAGGCGGACCTCTATGAGTTCAAGGCCAGCCTGGTCTACAGAGTGAGTTCCAGGACAGCCAGGGCTATGTAGACTGAAACTCTGTCTCAGAAAAACAGAAAGATGGTGAAGCAGTCTTTGGAGATTCCTGAAGGGCATTCTCAGCTACACTGGGGACCAGTTTTTCTCTTGCAACTTAAAAGTGTACTCTTTATTCCACCTTTCATTCTGAGAGTGGAATTTCCTTCAATGGCCACTGTATCAAGTTCATTTCCTGATAGGACAATGAATATGGATGGGTACAGCACCAAGGTGGTAGCATTTATGGTCCATGTGGCTTCCAACGACTAAGAATCTCTGTGCTACCATGTCAAACAGTATCATGAGACAAAGAGAGGGCTTTATTCTTGCCCCTACTGAGCACCCAACACACAGGAAATCCCCTTTCTTATAGTACTACATTAATCATTAAAATCATTATCATTAATAAAGTTCCTTCCCTCCAAAAAGAGCATCCACCACCTCTTTGGCTTGAGCCATGCTCTTCTGTCCCTGGGTAGTTAAAGCATTCTTTTATCTGGTTGCCCATCCCTTCTTGTCCCCTCCCACCCACTCTTATTCAGCCTCCTTTGCTTGTTAACTTAGAATGAAGTTGAATTAATCTAAACTGGCAGAGTTTAGTGGTAAATCCTGTAATCACGGCAGTTGGGAGATGACTGGGAGCTCAAGCTACATATAGAATTCAAAACCAGACTCTGCTATCTGAGACCGTGTGTGTGAGACTGTGTGTGTGTGTGTGTGTGTGTGTGTGTGTGTGTGTGTGTGTGTGTGTGTGTGGAGGTGGCTCAGCAGTTAAGAGCACTGTTGGGTATATAATTCCAGCGCCAGAGGGTCTGGATCCCTCTTCTGCCCTCTTGTGGCTACTTACTTGCATGTGCACACTCAGATAAAATACATTTTTAATAAATAAAACAACAAAAATCTATGCCCCTGGATCTGCCCAGCCTTGCCACTCTCTCCTCTTTTTTCCCTGCGTAAGTGACACCTGGCGCACCTCAGTTCCTTCACCCGCTGGGTGCATGCATCTCCCCACTTCTGCCATGTTGGATCAGAGCGTCTGCACCTGCATTAGATCAGGCTTCAGTCAGGAAAGTGTTATGGACCATTAACGATGAAGGCAGAGGCCTTGAGTCTTCACCATCTTATGCTCAGCTGAACATAATGCCAGGTCCTGAGTGCCCGTTTAGGGAAAGTCAGACGCAGTCAGCTCTTATTTTTTGAAGTACCATGGCGCCTAGAATCCCAAGAGAGGTAGGTACCGTTTATTCAACGAATGTTTTGTTCTTATATCTTATGCATGCTGGATTCATAAAAACCTCAGAACCGCACAATGATTGGCTGCGGCCATTGTCCCTCTTCTGCGGCTTGGTTGGGGAATCTAGGCACGGATTTACCTAAGGACCGCTAGGGCGGCGGAGTGCGTCTTAAGGTGCAGGGGTGGAGAGATGGCCCAGGGACGGGCCCGGGTGGGGCTGCCATTTGCCTTGCCTCCGGTAGAGGTCTGCTTGTACCCAGCGCGGGTGGGTCCAGAGAGCAGCTGCAGGGCCGGAGGTAATCTCTGCCCGGCTCGGAGCGCAGACTGGGCAGGAGGACGAACAGCTGCGACCCAGTAGGCGCGCGAGGGAGCAGGAGGCAGATCAGGGCTGTGAGACTGTGCCACAACCCAGATCGTCCTCAGTTCCTTCCCGGAGGGCGACGTGGGGCCAGCGGCCCTGCAACTCGAGCTGCGGCCCTAGTTAAAAATACCCCTTGCCCTGCCCTCCCTTTGGCTGGCTGTGCCCTTCTGTCGCAGCCCAACCCTCCTCACCCGGACAGGCGCCCGGCTCCTCCCGGGGGACAACTCTGTCTCTTACCAATTTGTCCTCTTGCAGAGTTGGCTCAGAGCCTGCGGAGGAAGGGAGGGACCGAGGGACACCCTGAGTATGAGGTAGTAAAAACGTTGCGGGAGAGATAAGAGACAGCCCAGAGGGAGAGGGGTAAAAGCCCCAGGAGTAGGTGGAGGACCAAAGAGGGAGGAACCAGAGCCGAGGGGCGGTGGAGAAGGGCGGGTAGGAGCGCTCTTCCTGGTTGGGCCCTGCCCTGAGCCGCCACCAAGGAAGCCAGCAGCAGGCACTGCAGCAATCTCCCAAACTCCCCTCCCCCAGGTAAGGAGTTGGATGCCCAGACTGCGATTGTTTGATCCCGACCACTGGTTCTGAGACTAGGGTGCTGTCGCTGATCGGCCCCTGTTACAGGTCCTCTCCTTGCTTGCCTGAGGGGTAGGGGTCAGGAAACAGCTCAGTGCAGGCGCTCACCCTGTCGCTAGGAGCTGGGCCAGTGTCCAGTGCTCTGATGTTCAGCCTGTCTCCGGAGCCTGTGGAGGGGCATCAGTGCCTGGAGTTTTCAGTTCCCAAGCCGCGGAAAGGGGCAAGTGAACTAGATGCTTAGCAACTTTGTGGAGGGGGCTTACAGACAGGCAACCAGGGTCAGAGATCTTACCTGGAGTACTGCTGTGGGCTGGCCTCTGCCCTACACCATCTGCCTGGATGCTGGAAGGCTGACACAGAACCGTCAACCCTGCATAATGGGAATACGGAAAAGGAGAGGTGGTGGCCAGTGTACATAGAGATCCAGGCTCTGTAAAGGGGGCAGTGAAACAAAGAGACCATGTTTGGGGAGGAATGGACGGGTCCAGGAAAGCGCTAAAAGGCAGGAGTTGTGTTCTATTCCTGGGAAGGCCTGGGTTTCTAGCAGGCCCATGTGTCCCCCAGGATGGCAGAGGAGTTCATCACACCTGTGTACTGCACTGGGGTATCAGCCCAAGTGCAAAAGCAACGGGCCAAGGATCTGGGCTTGGGCCGCCATGAAAACGCCATCAAGTACCTGGGCCAGGATTATGAAAAGCTTCGGGCAAAATGCCTGCAGAATGGGGTCCTCTTCCAAGATGAGGCCTTCCCTCCGGTGACTCACAGCCTGGGCTACAAAGAACTGGGTCCCAATTCCTCTAAAACTTACGGCATCAAATGGAAGCGTCCTACGGTAAGAGGGCAACTCTGGGTAGACTTGGCTCTGACATAGGTGAGGAGTGGACTGGGGTTCTGTTATTAGTGGTATCTGAGGGGCTGATGCCAGTTTCTAGGAGGGACTGGCCCAGGAACAGGACTGTGGGTCTTGTAGGAGCTGCTGTCAAACCCCCAGTTCATCGTGGATGGAGCCACCCGAACAGACGTCTGCCAGGGATCACTGGGTAGGCACCCAGGGGTGGGGTTCTGGGTGTTTTTCCCAATGTAGTTCTCCATTCCCATTCCATTGGGCACTGTTCCAACTCCTCCCTCCTGCAGGCCCAGACAGGCTTTGGCTATCAGCACAGGTGCTGGTTTGCCCAGATTCTTCTGTCTTTTCTGTAGTGGGAGAGAGATGAAGGGTACCTCACCCAGGGAATCCCAGGTTGTCTCCCGTATCCCACTTACACAGCACCTCTGTCCCCTGAGAAGATCCACAGGGCAAGCCTAATGAGGGTCTTTCTTGCCCCAGGGGACTGTTGGCTCCTGGCTGCCATTGCCTCCCTCACTCTCAACAAGCCTCTTCTGCACCGAGTGGTTCCCCACGGCCAGAGCTTCCAGGATGGATACGCTGGCATCTTTCATTTCCAGGTGAAGGGCCTTGCACCCTCGCTGGGTGGAGCATTAGGGAGATGTGAAGGGATGGCCCACAGCGCTGGGAAGGTGGGATGGCCTGGGCCACACCCTGTAGGCCGCTCTCCCTCTGGAAGGTATTTGACCTCTCAGGGCCACCTCTGGTTGGTCATGTGATTGGTTGGGCAGGTATTTCATCTGGCAGTCTTCCTAGGGAAGGTTGTGCTTAGTGGAGGAAGTGTGTGGAAGGACAAAGATGCTGTGCTTTGGCTCACAAAGCAATCTTTTTCTTCATCCAAGCCTCAGTTTCCCCAGTTGAAGATGGAGTATTCTTCTGGGGAAACCTCATGGCTGCCTTCATATGTTGGTTTGCTGTTTCCCAACTTCCTGCCATTGGCAAGGTCTGACAGAGTCTTGGAGAAAAAAATAGACTCGGGATTTAAACCACCTTTTCCTGAAGTTTCCAACATGACCCACTTTTCCAGTTACAGTTCCAATTCTCCAGGAGTTGGTTTTGAGAGAGTCTTCACTGAGGCCTTCTGGCCATGACCCCAGCCATGCCTGAAGTCCCTGTGTTGCTTCCTTCTGCCTAGTCAGGGCCTCCTACCTCACATTGCCCTGGCCTAGAAGAAATGGCTGGTACAACACTCTATGCTGAGATCCCCACACCTACCCGGCTCTAATCCTCAGGGGGGAGCCTCACCACCCTTTTCCCCGCCCCTTCCCTCAGTGCTCCAATCTATTCCTCTCCAGCTTCTGATTGGCCCACTCAGTACCTCCTCCCAAATCCTTCAATGGGCTTCTTCTTATCTCACTCTGTGGGCCTCTCGCTGCTAGGGTTGTTGGTCTCTTGGAAGCTTCTGTTCCTAGGCACCCTGGGCCTGCACCTCATCCCTTCTACACCGGGAAGCCAGTCCTTTGGTACCTCTGGGGCAAATCTGGTGATGTGGGGAACCTGCCCCGCCCACTGAGGGTCTGGGGGAAACATTTTCGGTCTGCATCTCCCTGTTTTATACACATTCAGGTTTAGAATAGGGAGGCAAGAAGGAAGGGGCAGGACCTAGGGGGTTCTTTGTGGAAGAACACAGTCTGGAGGTCTTCTTTTCTATACCCTTTCCTTATTTGAAGAGTAACCTTGTCCATTTCAGTCTTGAGTTATAGGTGTCGCCTGCATAGTTGAGAAACTAAGGTTATAGCTTCTTTTCCTGGGTAGGGAAACTGAAGCTCAGACCTGAGGCAATATAAACACCCCATCAATAGTTAGTTAAATTATTTGTCTAGAGGATAATATCAAGAGACAAGTCTGTATTTATTCATTTAGAAATTTTTTTGGGGGGAGGGGTTTCGAGACAGGGTTTCTCTGTGTAGCTTTGGAGGCTGTCCTGGCACTCGTGCTGGAGACAAGGCTGGCCTCGAACTCACGGAGATCCGCCTGCCTCTGCCTCCTGAGTGCTGGGACTAAAGGCATGCATCACCAATGCCCGGCTCATTTAGAAATTTTAATTATATTTACTTATTATTTTTGCATGTGTGCATGCACGTGTGTCTGTGGTTGTGTGTGTTGATGAGGATTAACAGTGTGCATGTGTGTCTGGTGTGTAAAGGTCAGAAGACAACTTACTGAAGTCAGTTCTCTCATTCCAACTTGTGGATCCTGGAGTTGAACTTGAATTCTCAGGCTTAGTAGCAAGCACCTTTATCTCCAGAGCCATCACCAATGGTCCAATTGGGGTTTTGTGGAATTGTTGTTTTGTTTTTGAGACACAGTCTTACTTTGTAGCCTTGTCTGTCCTGGAATTTATTTATTATGTAGATCAAGTTGTCCTTGAACTCAATGAGATCACCTCCTGGGTGCTGAGATGAAGGTGTGCACAGTTGTGGTACCTGAGGCTGAGGAGGGCTGACTACTGCACACTCTAGTAGAAAGAAAGCATGTTTCTATGAATGTATGTGTGTTGCACATGTGCCCAGCATATGGATCTAGACTCATGTATTTAGCAAGCCCAGCTGAAGCTGGAGCTGAGGCCTGGGGGACCCCAGAGCAGGTGCTCACCTTGCCCCTCCCCCACAGCTGTGGCAGTTTGGGGAGTGGGTAGACGTGGTCGTGGATGACTTGCTGCCCACCAAGAATGGGGAGCTGGTGTTCGTGCATTCGGCCCAAGGCAACGAGTTCTGGAGTGCCCTGCTTGAGAAGGCCTATGCCAAGTGAGTAGGAACCCCAGGGCAAATTTTCAGTCTCCAGTGGTGGAAGGGTTGCTCCTGGTTCTCTTACCGGATCCTACCTCACTGACCTGGAACTGCCCTTAGGGTGAACAGCAGCTACGAAGCCCTTTCAGGAGGCACCACCTCAGAGGCCTTTGAGGACTTTACTGGTGGCGTCACCGAGTGGTACGATCTGAACAAAGCACCCAGAGACCTCTACCAGATTATTCTGAAGGCGCTGGAACGAGGCTCCTTGCTGGGCTGCTCCATTGATGTGAGTGATATCCAAGTTCCTCTCCCCAAGCCTATTCTCTTCCTCAGCCTGAGACACACACCCTCACCTCTTTGTAGGTTGTTTATACAAAACCAGCCCCACCCATCCCTTCCTTCCTGTCTTCCACATTCAGAGCTCTGGTGTCAGTTGTGCCCTAGACTTGTTCCCCTCTTCCTCCTGCTCTCTTCCCTTCTCAGTTCTTTAATTGGTGTTTTGCCTGTATTATGCATGTCTGCGTAAAGGATTTAGATCCCCTTGGAATTAGAGTTACAGACAATTGTGAGGGTCCATGTGGGTGCTTGGAATTGAACCGGGGTCCTCTGGAAGAGCAGATACTGCTCTTAACCATTGGGCCATCTTTCCAGGCGGCACATATACTAGAACTGGAAGGATACAGAGAAGATTATCTAGGCCCTTTCTCATTCTTAGTACCTTCCCATGTCCAGGGGCCATCACAGTCCAGTGGTTCAGCTTTCTGATAAGATCTATTTCCTACTCTCAGACTTCTAGACCCACTCCTAGCTCCTCCCTCTCCTTTCTCCTTGCTTACCCTTGTCTGCCCCACAGTTCCCACAGCCATATACAGACCTCCCTAGTCCTGTTTTTCATTACTCCACGCCAGCATCAAGCAGCCTTCCAGGATTTCCTTGCCTAATGCAGCTCTGTGGCCCAACACAAAATCTTGGGATCTTACTTAAAACATTGAGATTTGAAACTGTGTGACTTGACTGAGCTATTGCCAAGTGTGAGCTTTGTGAATGACAATGCCATGCTACAATGTCACAAAGGTTGGCTATGGGGCTGGAGAGATGGCTTAGTGGTTAAGAGCATGTACCGCTCTTGGAGAAGACCCAAGTTTGGTTCCCAGTGCTCACATCCTATAACTCACAACTTCCCCGTCACTCCTACTACTGCAGAGGGATCTGATGTCTCTGGCTGCTGAGGGTTTCTCCATTTACATACACATACCAATACAGTCACACACAGAGAGACTTGGAGTTAATTCTAAAATAAATTTTTAAGAATGCTATATCACTCTGCCAGTTTAGCCCTATTTGGATCCCCCCCCCCCCCCCGCTTGTGCCTGCACTGAGTCTCTCTTTAGTGTGTGCCTGGTTACAAGTGTGTGTATATGCATGTTCACACTCTTGCCAGCCCTAGCCAGTAACAGCCTAGTGACAGCATCGGTGAGGTGATGGACCCTGTTCTCCAGGAGGAGCAGCATTGTGTGCAACAATGTAGTGTATGGGATAGGCGTCTGACCGTTTCTCCCATCAGCTTCTGTGTGGATTGTGTGTACAAGGAGGACTGTGTGAGCCCCATGAACACTCCAAGCAAGGATAGCACCTCATCTTCTGACCATAGTGAATGTTTCCTGTAGATCTCCAATATCATGGATATGGAGGCAACTACCCTTAAGAACCTGGTGAAGGGCCATGCATACTCTGTGACAGGTGCCAAGCAGGTATTTCCTGGGCGGGGCCTGTCCTGCAGGGTGGTTCCCACCTCCATGTTTTCCTGGCATCTGACCTGGGTTGTGGGAGGCGATTTCTCCTTTTTTGACCTCCTAGGATAACCATTCTGTGGTATGCATTGATGTTTATCCCAATTGACTCTAGTTCGTGTGTTTAGCTGCCTCCCTAGAGGACTGGCTTTAGGGTATATTGACTGTGTGGCTTTTGTGTGCTGATGGGTACTAAGCAGGGTGAGATGGTAAAGAAGGTGGGCCAGGAAGGATGTCAAAGGGCATGGCACTGATGTGTGCTCTGGGGAACAGGTGAATTTCCAGGGCCAGCAGGTGAGCCTAATCCGAATGAGGAACCCCTGGGGTACAGTGGAATGGAAAGGAGCCTGGAGTGATAGGTAAGGGTAGGACAATGGGCACTGGTTTGGGAGGTTTGGGCAAGTCTGGAGAAACACCTAACATTTCTCCCTGCACCTCAGCTGGTGGGGGATGGACTGAGGATTGAGTAGAGGGGTCCCATCTTGTGTACTCTTTTAGGATTTTGCTCTGACAGAGCCTACCCAGGCTGTGGGAACTGGGGAACCCTCAGATACACCCAGGGCATCTGGTTTGGCCTTGATAAGACACCCCTGGCTGGATGTGGTGGTTTATGCCTGTAATTCCAGTGTTCAGGAAGTTGGGGCAGGAGGATCACTATAAATTTGAGGCCAGCCTGGGCTGCACAGAGTGAGATCCACCTCAACCAAGACTACATAGTTTTTAAGGCGGGAGGAATATGGTAGCTATGTAGTCTCTAAAAGAAGAGCCCATAAAGACCTCAAGAGGGCTGGTTGTAGAGAAAGCCCCTGGATCTGGGCTCTGGCAAACATATAGGGTTGGACGGGGCGCAGGGACAGAAGTTACATAGGTCAGTAGTGTCCAGTCCTAGCTGTGCCTGCTTCCCACAGCTCCTCAGAGTGGAACAGAGTGGACCCCTATGACCGGGAACAGCTGAGGGTCAAAATGGATGATGGGGAGTTCTGGTAAGCAACACTTTTTCTTTACTTGCTCTTCAAGCCCAGTTCATGATGGGGGATTGTGGCTTACCTCTGCGCTTGGGTCCTCAGGATGTCATTCCACGACTTCTTACGAGAGTTTACCAAACTGGAGATCTGCAACCTCACACCTGATGCCCTTAAGAGCAGGACCATCCGGAACTGGAACACGACTCTCTATGAGGGCACCTGGCGCCGGGGAAGCACAGCTGGTGGCTGCAGGAACTACCCAGGTGACTGAGCCAGAGGCAAACTAGGAGACAGAGCAGGGTGTGGGACTGGCCATCTGGCTAAGCCTGTTCTGTCCCTTGAGAGGCAGATAGTCAAGCTTGGGTGTTCCTCATGTTAGCTTTGAGGAATACATCCTTAGGGTGCAGTAGGGCTGTGCTGCACTGCCTGGGGCCTGAGTAAGAAAACCTTGCTTTCCAAGCATCTGCAGGTCACTCCTCATTCCCAGAGCCCTTCCCTCCTTACCCACTGACTTCCTGTCCTGTCACCTTTCCACCTTACATATTGGTGACTGTCATGGCTGTTGCTGCAGGGGGTGAATCACACTGTCTGGTGCCCTCCCCTCCCAAACAACCTTTTCCTCTACTCCAGCTCCACCCTGTCCCACCACAAAGCATTGTGGGCCTTGCCATTCAATTCATCTGCCCCTTCCCAGGCCTCTGCCTCTGAAGGCCTCAGTCTCTTGCAATTGACTGATCTTGCTGACTCCCATTTGAGTTACTCTACTCTCTCATTTTGTACTCTCTCTCTCTCTCTCTCTCTCTCTCTCTCTCTCTCTCTCTCTCTCTCTCTCTCTCCAAAGCTGGCTATGTAGCCAAAGATGACCTTGAATTTCTGATCCTCCTGCCTCCACTTGCAGAGTTCTAGGATTATGGGTGGGCATTACAACACCTGGTTTGTGCCGTACCAGGGTTAGAACCCTGGGCCTTGTGAATGTTAGACAAGCCATCTACCAACTGAAAAACAGCCTCATCTCCTGATCTAGTTGTTTGATTTTTGAGACAGAGCTTCTTTGTGTCACATTGGCTGTCTGGAACTCACTCTGTAGACCAGGCTGGCCTCAAATTCAGAAATTTGATTGCCTGTCCCTCCTGAGAGCTGGGACTAAAGGCGTTCGCCACCACTACCTGTCTCTTTTTACTGTATTAAAATATTACACTTATTTATTTTATGGGGGTATGCGTGTGCATGTACATATGCTCATGGCACAGTGTGTGCATGTGGAGGTCCTACTTTCAGGCTGGTTCTCACGTTCCATCATGTGTGTCTCTGTGACCTGACTCAGGTAATCAGACTTGGATGTCAAGAGCCTTTATCCACTGAGCCATCCTGCCAGCCCTCGTTGTTGTCATCACGACCTTGCAAACATCTAGTTCCCTGGCCTTTCTCCTGCTCTGTTCCTGTTACCCAACATGCCCACAATCCCAATTGAACCAAGCTTTTTCTACTGACTCAGAACCACTAAATGTGGCTGGAGAGAAAACACAACTGAGGCTGTTTTCCTTGTAAATTCACAGCCACAAACCTCTAATAAGCACTTTGCATAGTCTTAACCATTCCACTAGGAACTCTCCACCCTCCTCCACCTCTCTCTTCTTTATTGTCATCTAGAGACCTTGCATTTCATTGAAAAGAGGCTTTGTTACCTGTGACCACTCATGCCTGTCATTCCAGTGCTTGGGAGGTAAAGGCAGGAGGATCAGGAGTTCAAAGCCAGCTTTGGCTGTAGAGCAAGTCTGAAGCCAGCCTGGGCTGGATGAGACCTTGTCAGAAAAGAGAGGAAGAGATTGTCAGAGTGCTAGGTGATGGGTGCATGCCTTTAATCCCAACACTCCACTCTGGAGGCAGAGGCAGATCTCAGTGAGTTCAAGTACAGCCTGGTCCACAGAATAAGTTCCAGGACAGCTAGGGCTACATAGAGAAACCCTGTCTCAAAAACCAAAACTTAAAAATGAAAAAGGGGGGGGGAAGAGGAAGGGAGGGAGGGAGAGAAGGGGAGGAAGAGGCCTCATTACATAGGACACCTCAGGTCCTACCTCTGTCCCCCTGTTTATCTCCCATGCACTTGTGTGTACTGCTTGTCTGCTGCTTTAGTGGTGGGAGTGTTGCTGCTCCTGCTCCCGCTCCTGGAAGCCCTGCTGTCCCCAGATCCTATCCTCCCTCTCCTCTGAAAGCATTCCTGCTCCTTCCCCCTCTCTTCCCTGTGTCCTTACGGAAAAATCCCATCTTAAAGCATCAGTCCTTGACTGACCTCTGGCCTCCCAACCCTGCCTCCTCCCTCTTCTGCTCTGAATTGCCCTGCTGCCATTTCCTTCCTGGCAGCATTGACTTGGCCAAATTCACCGCTGTGGTAGGCTCCTGCCTGCATCCTCTGGCTGTTCCCTTGAGAAGCTCACTTGTGTTGTTAAAAGCATTCTTCTTCCCACTTCATTTTTCTCCAAAACTTGAAACACAGTTCCTGTACCACAGCTGAGAGGCCTGTGCTTCCCTCTGCTGGCACTTTAGCGCCATTGTACACTTCCCATGTCTGTGGGTATTTCTGGCCCTGGTCCAAGCTTCTGTCAATTGCTCATTGATGTAACTGTTATGGATTTGTCAGAAGTCCTGTTATTAGACAAGGTGTATAGACTTCTTCAGGAGTCTCTTTGCTTGTTTTTTAAGCAAGCTCCAAGACAGGCTCTAAGCAACAGAGAAACTGTTTAGAAACATGAAAAAACAAGACAAAACAAAAATAACATTTATTGAGCCAGGCTTGGTGGTGCATGCCTTTAATCCTAGCACTAGGGAGGCAAAAGCAGGTGGATCTCTGAGTTTGAGGCCAGAGGCCATCTGGATCTACAGAGTGAGTTCCGAGATAGGCAGGGCTACAGAGAGAAACACTGTCTTAAAAACCAAAATAAATACATAAGTAAATTCTTGCCTCTCAAATGATACATATGGGTACAATAATGCACAGTTGCTCTTTTAAATGTATTTTGTATTCAGACTCACCTCTTGCTAGATTCTTTGTAGTTTACTAGCTGGCAATCGACAAATAGCAACACATTTGTTTTGTCTTCTTCCATTTTTGCAACTTTTGTTACTTTTTCTTGCCTACTACACTCTCTAGAAGAAAATAGGAGCCACTATTAAGGGATTCCTGTCAAGCTTGTCTTTTTGTTGTTGCTTAATTTCATAAAAATTTATTGGGCTGGGCGTTGGTGGCACACGCCTTTAATCCCAGCACTCAGCAGACAGAGGCAGGCGGATCTCTGTGAGTTCCAGGCCAGCCTGGTCTCCAGAGCGAGTACCAGGATAGGCTCCAAAGCTACACAGAGAAACCCTGTCTGGAAAAACCAAAAAAAAAAATTATTTACTTTGGCTGGGAGGGGTTCACACACAAGGTCAGAGTACAATTTGTAGGAGTTGGTTCTCCTCTTTCCACTCTGTGGAACTTGGGGGTGGAACTCAGATTGTCCTGCTTGGTGGCATGTACCTGTGGAGTGTCTCCCCAGCCCCAGTAATACATAGTTGTTGTAGGTTTTATTATTGCAAACTTTTAGGGGAGGGGTTGGAATGAAGTGGTTATATGAAGTTCTGTTGTTGCTGATTGGTCCTAGAGATTGACTCCTGGGACTTATACATGCTAAACAAGTGAGTTGCCACAGAACCACTATTTTTTTTTTTTTTAAAGACAGGGTTTCTGTGGCCTGGAATTCCAGTTGTCCTTCCTCTGCCTCCCAAGTGCTGAGATTTTAGGTGTGCACAGCCATGCATGGTTTATAAGGTCCTGGGGATGGGACCTGGAGATTTGTGCAGTGGGTCTACTTGGAGGCAAACACTTTACCAATTAGCTACATCCCCACTCTAGATAGGTTTTAGTTTCATATTTTGTGTATGTGTATATGGGTCTTTTGCCTGCATGTATATCTGTGTATTACATGTATGCCTGGTGCCACGGAGGCCAGAATCAGGCAACTTGAGTTACAGACAGTTGTAAGTTACCATGTGGATGCTGAGAATCAAACAAGGTCCTCTGGAAGAGCAGCCAGTGCTTCTAACTGCTGAGTCATCTCTCCAGCCCTTTGATGGAACTTTCATGCAGCATTGCCTGTTCCTTCTTTGCTCTCACTGGACACACTGCTGTTGTGTTGTCTGCTCTGTTAGAACATTCTCTTCCTTTGTGTGTTCTACAAGAGATTGCACAAAGAGAGATGGTATGTTAGGTAGAATGTACAGCTGTTGAACCTGCTTTTTCCTTTTTTAAAAGATGGATTTATTTATTATATATACAGTGTTATGTCTGCATACATGCCTCCAAGCCAGAAGAGGGCCCCAGATCTCATAATAGATGGTTGTGAGTCACCATGTGGTTGCTGGGAATTGATCTCAGGACCTCGGGAAGAGAAGTCTGTGCACTTAACTTCTGAACCATCTCTCCAGCCCCCTTTTTTCCCCCTTTTCATGAAGATTAGCTTCTCTTGTTTTCAGTCCTAGGGATGGCACCTTCAGTCTCATGTGTACAGAGTAAGTGCTCTACACTGATAATCCCCAGCAGTCCCTGCAAATCCCACTTGTTTATGCATTTATTCTAACTTCATCAATCTATGTCTCTCTCTCTCTCTCTCTCTCTCTCTCTCTCTCTCTCTCTTCTATCTATTCTATCTATCTATCTATCTATTCATTTGATGTGTATGAGTGTTTTGACTACATTTATATCTGTTCTATCTTTCTATCTATTCATTTGATGTGTATGAGTGTTTTGACTACATTTATATCTGTGTACCACATGCATGCCTGGTGCCCATGGAGGTCAGAATCAGGCAACAGATCTCCTGGATCTAGAGTTACAGACAGTTGTGAACTTCCATATGCATGTTAGGATCTGAATCCAGGTCCTCTTGAAGAACAGCTAGTGTTCTTAATCATTGAGCTGTCTCTCTAGCCCCATGTGTGATTTTATAATAGTCTAATTTCAATGTTTTCTTTAATAAAGGTTTATTTACTTATTTAATGTACATTGGGGTTTTTACCTGCATATAGGTCTATAAAAGGATGTCAGATCCCCTGGAACTGGAGTTACAGACAGGTGTGAATGGCCATTTTGGTATCTGGAATTGAACCCCTGTCCTCTGGAAGAGCAGCAGTGATCTTAAATTCTGATCTACCTCTCCAGGCCCAGAATTTTTTCTTTCTTAAAAAATTACATTTATTTTTATTTGAAGTGATGTGACTGTGAACACATGGAGGTCAGAGGACAACTTTGAGGGTTTTCCCATTCCACCATCTTTATCCTAGGGATCAAACTCAGGTCATCAGGCTGGGCAGCAACCACCTTTTCCCCCTGAGCCATCTCATTAGTCTAAGATATTAATATTTATTTCAGTTCATTTACTTTGTCTTCTCTCCCTTCCATCCTTCTTTTCTTTAGTCTCTCTCTCTCTCTCTCTCTCTCTCTCTCTCTCTCTCTCTCTGTTTTTCAAGACAGGGTTTCTATGTGTAGTATTGACTGTCCTAGAACTCACTCTGTGACCAGGCTGTCTTTGAACTCACAGAGATCTGCCTGCCTCTGCTCCCTGAACGCTGGTATTTAAAGGTGTGGACCACCACCACCCATCGAGACACGATCTTACTCTGTAGTCCAGGCTTGCCTGAAACTGACAGCAACCCTCCTACATAGTAAGTTTTTCCCACTGTGGATTTGAATATCTCAAGACCATGCTTACTACATTTTGTTTCTTATCATTGAGACGCAGGGTCTCACAGAACCAGGACAACCTTGAGCTGGTTGTGTAGCTGAGGATGGCCTTGGACTTGTCATCTTCCTGTCTCTACCTCTAAATGCTGTAATACAGCCACAAGTCACCAAGCCTAGCTTTCCTTTTTTTGATTTTGTTGTATTTGCTAGGTTTTCCAAAATCTGTGGCTCAGTCCCAGAGCCTCACATATGAGATACAAGTGCTCTGCCAACTGAGCCCAGCCCCATCAACACCTGTTGTGGTTAGTTGATCTTCTAAGCAATGCAAAGATTTTAGAGCATCTTTCTTGGCTTGCCATTTCTTTTATTAGTTGATATTTTAATTCTAAACAGTTTTTGCTTGCCCTAAAATACATGTTATCATCACATGACTTTGGATTATCTGTAGAGTAATAATAATATTACATTATCAGATCTCTCATCTGGACTCATATTCTCTATGTAAAATGTCTTTTTATGAAGTTTTTGTTGGGGTGCTGGAGAGATGGCTCAGAGGTTAAGAGCACTGGCTGCTCTTCCTGAGTTCAATTCCCAGTAACCACATGGTGGCTTACAACAATCTATAATGAGATCTGGTGTCCTCGTCTGGTGTTCGGGAATACATGCAGGCAAAAGGGTGTATATATAATAAATAATTTATTTATTTATTTATTTATTTTGGTTTTTCGAGGCAGGGTTTCTCTGTGTAGCTTTGGAGGCTGTCCTGGCACTCGCTCTGGAGATCAGGCTGGCCTCGAACTCACAGAGATCCACCTGCCTCTGCCTCCCGAGTGCTGGGATTAAAGGCGTGCACCACCAACACCCGGCATAAATAAATCTATTTAAAGAAGTTTTTGTTGATCTAGAGAGATGGCTCATTTGTAAAGAAAGCACACTGCTCTTCCAGGAGACTCCAGATTAGTTCCCAGTGTCTACAGCAGTGCCTCATAACTGCCTGCACCTCCAACTCCACAGTATTTATCGCCCTCTTCTGTCCTCTGTGGGTACTACACTCACATGTGCGCGCATGCTCACACACACACACACACACACACACACACACACACACACACGTTTTGTTTTTAGTGTGTGTGTGTGTGTGTGTGTGTGTGTGTGAGCATGCGCGCACATGTGAGTCACCATGCCCAGCTTGGCTGGATGTCTCTTCTAAGGCTCCAGACTCAAAGATTCTTGTAAAGGCACTGAGAAAACCAGGCACTGGCTACTCCTTTGGGGCTCAGATTGTTGTCACTATCCCAGGCCCGACAGCAGCTTGCTTCTCTTTTTAGAACCCAGGGCCTTGAATTACAATACGTCATGCAGCTCTTCCAGCATACTTTTCTTTGTAATAATTCTGATAATTCACCCACTTCAGCTTCTGGAAAACAAGCCCTGACAGACAGAGACAACTCCTGCCCATCTGCTGTCCTGTCTTCTGACACTCAAGGGACTATATAATTGAAGTTTGAATGAGTTTATCAATGAGTAGACATGGGATGGGCGTGCGGGAGAGGCTTGGGAAGCCACCTTTTTTGCCTGCCTCTGATCCTCCTCCTCTTCTCCAACAGCTACCTTCTGGGTGAACCCTCAGTTCAAGATCCGGTTGGAGGAGGTGGACGATGAAGATGACTATAGCAGTCGGGAGTCGGGCTGCAGCTTCTTGTTGGCCCTTATGCAGAAGCACCGGCGCCGGGAGCGTCGCTTCGGCCGAGACATGGAGACCATTGGTTTCGCGGTGTATGAGGTTAGCCCTAGGGGTGGGCTCCCCGCCACCCACTGCAGGAAGCATCCACCAGGGGACGCCCGAGGTGCATCCTCAGTGGCTGTGGTGCTGGAAGAAGCTCCTGTATGTAGCTGCTGAATCCTACTGCTACAGAGAGGGCAAAGGAGGTGGTTTATTCCAGGAAAGGAAGGGTCTATATTTCATCCTTCTCCTCGGATGTGAGATGCAGCTTTGGGGAAGAGGGAGCTGGGCTGATTTCTATGTGTGCACGGCTTCTGGGGTCAGACTGTGGGCTTGGCTCTGGAAGGAAGCAGGCCACTCTTTGGAGCAAGGGTGTGAGCAGAGACCGATGGAGGGTGTGGTAGGGTCTGCTAGCTGAGGAGAGGCTGTTCTAGGCCCTACTTGGTGCCCCCCACCTTCATTTTTTTGGTGTTTGTTTTTGTTTTTCTAGGAAGGCTTTCTCTGTGTAGCCTTGGCTGTCACTCTGTAGACTAGGCTGGCCTCGAACTAGGAGATCCACCTGCCTCTGCCTCTACCTCCTTAGTGTTGGGTTTAAAGGTGTGCACCACTGGGCCTGGAGAGATGGTTCAGCGGTTAAGAATACTGGCTGCTCTTCCAGAGGTCCCGAGTTCAATTCTTAACAACCACCACATGG